GGGGGGGGCAGTTGTCGCGTTTACTCATTTGGCTAACGTGTGAAATGTTTAGGCTCAGCAACGAGTAGCCAGTTCCTCCAAATTCGCTTGTGCCATTCTCCGTCAGGTCAGTATCCTCTTTCTGGGGAAAGAACAGGAAGGACGGTCGAACAGCAGGTTGGATCCAACGCATAATTTGGATTAAATGGCAGGGCCACTCTAGGGGGTAACCAATATTCACTTTCAGACGCAGGTAACCTCAATGGACATGGAGAATATGAAAAGAAGAAGGGACCGGTTAAGCAAAAATCATTTGATACAGCCCGAGAGATTCTCCTGTGGGACCAATGCATGGTAGCCATTGGTCAGGAGGCTATGCACCTGGACGGACCCTGATCTACCTCTTCATCGCCGCATACAAGAATTTTATCGAACCACTTTGATGTTCAGTGGTTTGAAGTTTTCGAACATTAGATGATCCAACTGTGCGGCATCACAATAAATTCTTTCATCCATACCACAATGGTAATAGTCCTCATCATTCTAAAATCTTGGTATAGCGCCCAATCTGTAAGCACTTCGATTTGGCACATCCAGAAATTTAATTACGGAACTGTTGCTGTGGAGGCATGACATCCCGTGATGTTCAGATATTGCAATATCGAATGAAGACATCAAAAGTTTCCTAATCTTTTAAAGGCCTTATTGGCCTTCAGCAACGTTAGAATAATCCCTCTTCTCACATTTGATTACTAAATTTGTTACTTCGTTTATTAGCCAAAACGTTGATCCATCTTTCAGCACTCTCTTCAGAATTACAGGAGCACCCCTACCTACAAGTGAACATTCACAAGTATTCTAAGCAAAAATCGTTTGAAATTCGGGAGGAAAATATGTTCATATTTTCTGAGCATCTTTTCATTTTGCGTTCGTTGCCGTGAGTCCGGTCATTGTTTTTCTGAACCTCGCTTCGATCACTCAATTTGCCTTCGATGTAAGCCCTGCTATTGTCCTACATCATTCTCAAGAACTGCTGTGATTTTTCTGCGTCTGAAACCTCTACCTTTGCTTTTCTTCTGGGTTTCCGGGTTCTGTAGAAGACTTTAGGATTTTACACGAACTTAGTGTTCTTCATGTAGCGCTCGCGCATGCTCTTGCGCGTTCGACTCTCTATGATACAAAAACAAGCCACCGTTCAGTGTGTTCCCACGCTTCTGCGGAGAATTGTAGCGATGCTGTTAAAACAACGGAATATCTGTTATGTACACCTTCTTCGAGCATCGAAGCATGCATCAATATACTTGGTGTAGAGAAGCCTGTGC